CTCCTCCGCCACGAGATTGCAGGAGTCAGCGAGCAATTGATATTTTTTTCCTACTACAGATATTTCATTGTTTAATTGGTAGTGACAGAGATGGCTGGCTCGCATCCAGGGGTGCCACAGAGCGAGCCTCCTGAGAGCCTTGGCCCTGGGGGCCCTCAGGACTCCTGGCTCCCTCCAGTTTGAGATCTAAGATCACATCTTTCTCAGGTGGGGGCAGGGCGGCCGGCTCCCTGCTTGCTCTTTCAATCACAAAGCAAAAGCAAGGGTGTGAATCCAGAATCGCCTCTGTGAGCTGGTCAGGCAATCAATCCTCAGGGATCCATTCAGTGAGAGTCGACTCTAAGCTGGTGGCTGTGGAGAGTTTGGAAATGGGCAAACCACAGACTCTGGCCTCAGGCAGCACTTGGGAGATAAGGCATCAGGAGCCCCACGAGACTCTGGGAAGCCGAGTTCTGAGGGGATGAGGCCTGAAGTGTCACGTTAAAACCCTCTGAGATCTGTCCCCAACCCAGTCACACCTTCCTTGTACCTAGCCCCAACTGTTCCAGGAAAACCGTTTGTTTCTTTGTTTGCTTTGAACCTCAAGTACAGATCTGAACATGAACCTGAGGTTCATGGTCCACGGCCACCATCAATCCGCGGAAGGCCCCTCTTATTTTACTTTCTCTTTTCTCCTTCTCTAAGCAGCCACCCAAATGTATTCAATATATGTCCTTGGACATGTCTGTATCCTTAAAAAAAAAAAAAAAAATGCAGTGTTATTCTGTGTAGTTCGTTTTTATTTCCATAATGATATTAGGCTATAGATTCACCCTTTAATATTTTGAATCAAACTATCCATTTTTAGAGGAACCATCCAAGCTCCGCACGTGGAACTAGTTCGTCGCTGCTGTCCACCACTCTGTCGTGTACATTCCTCACATTGTCCATGCCCATTTTTCTAGAGGTGGACATTAAGTCGTGTCCAACTCTTTGCTATGCTAAAAGAACCCGCAGTGAATGCCTTTGTTCCTGCCCCCTTTACACACCCAAGAGGCTCCCTCTGGGTGCACAGCCAAGAGTGGCGTCACCCGCTGTGGTTATACACACCCTTAAATGCACTGAGCTGTGCCCCTCCCTCTGAGGAAGAGCTGCCCCCCTCCCCTGTGTTCCCTGCCACCAGCAGCCTTTTCATTTCCTTGCTTTAATTTGAATTTTTCTGATTGTTAATGAAGTCTGCTTCTCTTTATATACTCATTAGACGTTCAGGTATCTCCTCTAAGAATTTCCTGCTCATATCCTTTGCCCATTTTTCTGATTGGCTTTCTGTCTTTTTTCTTGCCAATTTGCAGGGATCCCTTGTATATCATTAATTCCTTTCGGTTGTAGACACTGAAGATATCTTCTCCCTATCACGCATCAGTTACTTTTGTCTATGGCTTCTTTCCTTGAACAAAAAATCCCTAATCTGTCAAAAGCATCTTTTAGAAGTTTTTTATTTGCCTTATGATTTGTGCTTTTGGAATCTTAAGAAATTCTGTCTTAGGTCATGAAGATATTTTCCTACATTTCATCCATTCCTTTATTAGTTTTATCTTTCACATGTAGGTATTTAGCCTACCTGAAATTCACCTTTATATATGGTGTGACGTAGTGATCCACATTATTTTTCTCTAAGCCAGTTGTCCCAATAGCATCTACTAAACAGCAGCCTTTCTCCACTGAATTGCGTTTCCGCCTCTGTCAGATTGTGTGTAGGTACATACGTTTCTGTTTTCTCTATTTGTCAGTCCCTTCGTACCACAGTCCCACAGTTCTTATTACTATAGCTCTGTGGTGTGTCTTACTACTGTCTGGTAGGACAAATGTCCCCTTTTAGCTATGCTTTTTCAAAACTGACTTAGCTTCTGTGGATCTTTATTCTTCCTCACATCTTAGAAGTATTTGAGTTCCTCCAAAAAATTTACTGAACTTTCATTGGAATTGTATTGAATCTTGTTAAAATGGGAGAATAGGATTTTTTGAATATTAAATCACATTATCCATGAACATGACTTTTCATTTATTCACCTATTTTAAAAGGTCTTTTAATAGACTTTTATAATTTTCTCCATAAAGGTATCAGTTCCTAAATACTATATGCTTAAGTAGCAATTTTGAATGGATCTTATTTTCTGTTTTTTAGCCGATTATAACTGTAATAGAAGAACGCCGTTGGTTTTTGTAAGTTTTTCTTGTATATGGCAATCTTGTCGAATTCTTCTATTAATTCTAATAGTTTTTCCCTGCATTCTACTGGGTTTTCTATAAAAATATCATCTCTAAATACTGATAGTTTTGTCTCTTCTAACCTTTCTATGTCTTGTTTCTTTTCTTGTCATATTGCATTAGTCAGGACCTCCAACACTGTCGAACAGCAGTTATGATAGTATTTTTGACTTGCTTGAGGCTTCAAAAGTTTCTCTTAAGTGTACTTCAAGTGGGTTTTTAATAAATAGCCTTTATCAAGTTAAGGAAGGTTCCTTCTATTCCTAGTTTTTTGAGAATTTTAATCACAAATAGGGATCTGGTGTTATCAAGTACTTTTAAAAACCTATGAAGATAATATATGATTTCCACTTGACACCATAAATGTTATAAATTAAAATGATACATTTTTGATGTTGAATCATTCTTACATTTCTAAGATAAGCCTTACTTGATTGTGCTATATTATGTTTAATTCACTTTTAATGACTTACCCACTGATGAATTTTCAAATTCATCAGTGTATCAATGGTCCTAATATTCTTTTTACCATTTTTACTATTTCTTAAATCATAAGAATTTCTTTAAAAGTAAAGATGCCTAGTTATTTCTCCTTCCACTCAGTATTTTATTTCCACCTCTTCTGTTTTTGAGATTCTCGCTAGAAGTTTGTCTATCTTGTCTAGTCTTTTTAAAAAGTAAGATTTTTATTTGATATTTCCAAAATACATGACCAACTGTCCCAGCCTCTGTCAGATTGTGTGTAGCCAGCATGATGCAGTGAAATGAAAACTCTGGAGTCAGACAGACCCGAGTTCAAATCCCCGCTCTCTTGCGTGCCATGCGACCTCGGACACATGACCCTCGGACACATGACGTCGCCCCTTTGCCCTTACTTCCTCATCTGTAAAATGAGAATAACAACCCTCTTCATTGTGAGGATCAGATTAGAAAATTTACCTAAAGCACGCGGAACAAAGTGAGGCCCATTAAACGTGGCGCATGTCAATCCCTGTCCTGAGTGCCATTGTTCGTGCCGTGCTCTTTGCCTGAAACGCCCACCTCCTAGGCCCCTGCTAGCCCCTGTAGCACCTGTGTGCAGTTTAGAAAAAGGCGTGCCTTCCTCAGGCCGGCCCAGTTCCCACTCACCCCCTCAGCGCCCATGTGCAGGGCACACCCTGCACACCCATGCACAGCAGCTCTGCCCACTTTCCTGCTCTCGATTTTCTTCTCCGCCCATTTCTCACAGTGCCCAGGCTGCCCATTCTTCAAGTTTCGGCTTCCTCGCTGAAGCCTCCCTTGTTCTCCCCTGGCTGGAAGTAATCTCTCTCCCTCCATCCTTCCTTCCTTCGCCTCACCACCCCTGAACTCACATCACATGTCATTTGTACATCTCTTAAGGCATTTATCTCATTTTACCTTATGTCTTAGTTATTTTGTGCCAATGTGTTATCCAACTGGATTAATCCCTTGAAGTTAAGGATTATAGTTTATTTGTCTTCAGATTCTCCCTCTGCCTGGGTTCTCAGTAAATGTTACTTGTATGAATGATTGAGTATTAAGTGTAGGAGCTAAGAAGAGCTTTATGTAATATTGTGTAAATGGCGTTAGGAGGGAGGGTCCTTTAGAGGCAGGAGTAATGAGTAGTAGGGCTCATGCGTGAAGGTGATGACGATGATGATGGTGGTTATGATGGAGGGTACCACTTAACTGAGCTTACCATTTGCCAGGCCCTGTGCTAAGTGCTTTCACAGTTTATCTCTCTAAGTCCTCACAGCAGCCCTTTGAGATAGGTGCTACTATTAGCTCCATTTTGCTGCCAAGGAAACTGGGGCTCTGATGAGTCAGCGGTGACTTGGTGCCCCAGGCCTGGTCTGCTTGACTTCGGGGTTTGGGCTTTCAGTTAAGATGACAAGCAGATGCCCTCAACCACACAGCAGCCACCATTTACTGAAGACTCGTTCCATACCAGACATTGTGTTCATGCTTCTCAGGCATTATCTCTAATCCTGAAAAGTGTAGGTTATCTCCACTTTACAGATAAGGACGCTGGAGGCTCATTGAGATTAAGTGACTTGCCTAAGGTCACATAAATGGAAAGCGATTATAACCAGATCTCTCTCACCTCAAAGCATGCCTTCTCCTTTGCATCAGGGGCACGGTGCTTGGGGCCAACAAAAAAACTCTTACACTGGAGTGGAGGAAGGTTTGTGTGGAAAAATGCAGGAAGCTAAGGTCAGAAAGGCAGATCTGTGTCGGGCTGCAGAAGCCTGCCGTCCAGCACAGATAATCACTCCGTCCACATCCTCACTTCTGGAAGCACAAGGCTTTGCCCTTAGCTTTGCCCTTAGGAAAGCTGCAGGGAGATCAAAGCACCTGCCGAGAAAGTGGTGTCTGAACAGATCTAAGACTTGCGGAAGTGAGTCCATTCCTCGCCTCTCAGTGATCGTATCTTCTCGACCCTGCTTGTCTTCCTAGGGCACCGGGACCAGCTGTCTTCGGCCTCCTAGATCTGCCCTGATAGGCTTCTGAAAAGCTGCTGCAAGATCCTGGGGCGGGGGGAGGGGTTGTCAGGCATGGCCTGCACCCTCCTAGGTTCCCAGAGCAGAAAGCCCGTCTCTGCTGGGCTCAGCTGTGCTCAGGGACGGGTGTGGATATGGAGAATCCAGGGGACGTGCAGATGGGGTTTTTGACTCTTAGTCCTCTCTGGGCTGAGATATGTCTCTATAGGTGTGTAGTCACCATGGGCCTCACCAGTGCCCTTCTCCGTCCAGGTCATTGCTGTGGTCATGGACCTCTTCACCGATGGAGATATCTTCCAAGACATTGTGGATGCCGCCTCTAAGCGCCGGGTCCCCGTGTACATCATCTTGGACGAGGAGGGCGTGAAGTATTTCCTGGAGATGTGTTGGGGCCTGGAACTTACTGACTTTCGTATTCGGGTAAATTATACCACCGGCGGGGGTAGGGGTAGCAGGAGATGAGACAGGGACTGCCTCTGCCCCTTTCTCTGCCTCCTCCCCAGTTCAGGGGCTCAGGCGAACAAGATCTCCACCCCTTGCCTTTTGTCTGAAACCTTGCCTCCTGACCTGATAACTCTGAATTACACACCCGGCTTAAATTTTATCCGAAGGCTGCTGAGGCTAAGGTGTCAGCTCTGGCCCAGTCCTGGGGTGCGCTCTGCCCCTGCAGTCACTGTCACGGTCAGAGCTAGGGCTGTGCTTCTCTTCTAGGGAGATTTGGGAGCAGGCAGGAACCACTCTGAGCTTATCCACACCCAAAGCAATATCTGCTGACTTCTTCCAGCTCTCTAAATGGAGTTCCGCTTGTCAGGCAGAGTCTGGTGCTGACAGGAGGCAGAGTCTGGTGCCAACAGGAGCCAGCAGGCCCTTAGGTCTCATGGACGAGAGGGCTCCTCCTCTGCCCAATCAAAGACGTAGCTCAGAGCCCTGTGGGCCCCAACCTGAGTGATAGCGCCTTTCTCTTCTCAACAGAACATCCGCGTCCGCTCTGTGACAGGCGTTGGCTTCTACATGCCCATGGGGAAGATCAAGGGGACTCTGTCATCAAAGTTCTTAATGGTAGATGGTGAAAAAGTAGCTACTGGATCTTACAGGTGAGTTGGACCGGGTCTGAGTGGGGCCTGGGAGGCCTTTATTCATGATCACAAGCGTTCATGGTCAGGAATGTGCCGGACGGGAGCCTCTGTGGTTGTGAGTTTAAGAGGCCATGTCTGATCCAATAACAAAGAAGAGCCTCTTGGCCCGTCCCTTTCCTCAAACTTTGTAGCTCCTGGATCCTTCCAGAAATAGGGTCAATTCTTACCGGACTTTAAGTGCAGCCTGCCTTCCGTGGTCCACAGCAAATGGTTGCACGTTGAGGATAGTTGTTAGGCGGGACAGGCAGGAAGCAGAATGTATCAGATCTGGGAAAGAAATATTAGGGTGCGGCCTGGAAGGAATGCCTCCCGAATCCTGATTCAGAAGTAAATTACCAGGAACGTGATATGTATCTGTTCAGCATCTGCCCTAGGTGCAAAAAAGAGACCTGGGCACCTAAAACAATAAATGGCATACTCTTACGTGGTTAAAGTATGGGGTTTTGTAGACACTAAGTGCTCTAAAAATTCAGAGAAGAGCCAGTAAGGAATGGAATGATATTAACAATAGTAGCAGCTACAGTAACTATTTATTATACGTGTGTCTCGTGCCAGTTACTGAGCTAAATGTTTTGTACACGTTATTTCACTTGAGCCTCAAGACAGCCCTGTGAGCCCCTTTTTACACGGCACACGGGGCGGAAACTCGGTTTGAATCCAGGTCCGACTTCTCACACGCTTGCCTTGCACCCACTGCCTGCTTTCTGCATTCAAGGTCAAGACCTGGGAAGAAGGGAGATTGGCTCAGTGGAGGGACAGCACCCCAGCTCAAAGGCCGGGCAGCAAGGAGTCCGGCCTGGGTGGTGGATCAGGCTGAGGCGGGGGCGGTGGGGTGTTGAGATGGGCTTGCCAAAGGGCTGCTGGCAGGACAAGGCCACCAGCTTGGGCACATGTGTCTTGCTTTTCTGTCCCTGTGTTCCCAGGTTCACCTGGAGTTCCTCCTATATAGACAGGAACCTTCTGCTCCTCCTGACAGGGCAGAACGTGGAGCCCTTCGACGTGGAGTTCCGGGAGCTGTACGCCATCTCTGAGGAGGTGAACTTGTACCAGCAGCTCGGCCTGGCTGGAGGCGCAGGCAGGCTCGGCCTCAACTACTCCTCCACCGTGGCGCGGAAGCTCATCAACCCCAAATATGCCCTGGTGTCCGGCAGCCGCCACCCGCCGGGAGAGCTGATGCGCTGGGCCGCCCGGCAGCAACGAGAGGCTGGCGGCAGCCCAGGCGGACAGGAAGAAGGTAGCGGAGGCGGCGAGTCAGCCCGGCGCCTGGAGAGCTTCCTGCACGACCTGGTCACGCTGGAGCAGATGCTGCCCCCCGTGGAGCCCGTGCCCCTGGGAGAGCTGAGTCGGAAGGGTGGCAAGGTGGTCTCTCACCTGCACGTGGACCTGAAGCCCCGAGAGGCACTTGTCCGAAATGGCAAGGGAGAAGCTGCCAACGGGGAGGCCGCCGCCGCCAAGGAAGGCAAGCTTCAGCAGCAGCCGACGGGCCAAGAGGCCTGCTGCGTCCAACGGCGTGGCCAGCTCCCTCGCCACCGAGACCTCTGCCGAAGTGGACTTTACGGCGGGGAAGAGGCTCAACGACGGCTCCAGTGCCAACGTCTCAGGTGAGTCCTCCCACCTCGGGCCCAGGGCTCCCCAGGCCGCTGGGCCGGATGGAAAAGCGTTGCCTCATATCTGCAGAAAGGCAGCTTGCTGGCCTGGCGAGAGCAGAGCCCTGGGGTCAGGCGGTTCTCAGTTCCCAGTCCGCTCTGGCGTGTCCGCTTCGTGGCCTTCGGCCAGGCAGCGCAGCTCTGAGTTTCCCTTTTCTCTTCTCTGAAAGGGGAGAATAATGGCTGCCTCGCCCAGCTGTTCTGAGGGGCTAAGTTGCTCAGAGCAGAGCTAGGTGTGGAGCAGTCCAGAGCTGACATGACTGCTACTACAGTCTTAGAAAGTTTCCCCTTCGCGAATGAAGAATCAGAGGCACGGTGCAGCCGAGGGGCGGGGCTCAGGCTCGACCCCCTGCCCCTGAGAATAGGGCCCGTTCTCGCAGAGCTTGTTCCTTGTCAGGATCCAACGTGGTCGAACACACCCCACCCTCACCTGTGCCCCACCAACGCCCTGACCCACTTTCCGCGTTTCTGTTGTGAACAGTTCGCCTTGGTTCCTCCCTGTGTTTATTTGATAAGTGGTGTTTGCCGTGCTGCTTACCTCTGGGAGAGCTTGTTCCTGATGGTGTTATCTTTCTAGCTGTCTCTCTGGGATCCCCTAGAGGTCCTGGCCTTCATCTCTTTCTCTGGAGCAGCCTCCAGCGCGGCCTTTCGGGAGGCTGGCGGTGACAGCCAGGGCTACTGCCGGTGCCTTTTCTCATGTCAGCATTTCTGAGTCCAAAGGATGTCCATGTTGGGATTTTTCCCTCTGTGGCTGTGGGGCTTGGCAGCAGTGAGCCTGAGCTCCCTTCCTGGCCAGTTAGTGCTGGCGGGACCTGAGGGCCTGCCCCCCGGCAGCCTGAGCACTTCCAGGACCCCCACATCCCCCACAGCCCCAGGTTTGACCTGATGGGGAGCGGCTTGAGTGCGGGGATCATAACCGTCTTCACCTCCACTGAGTCCACAGCCCGAATGCAGAGCCTGACACACTCGGTCTGTGCTCCTAAAAGTGAGGACGGGCCTCGGAGTCCCCGTGAACCTGGGCATAGCAGAAGCCCGAGTGCCGTGCCTCTGTCAGGCCAGGAAGCATTTACTGAGCACCTCCACGTGCCAGGTCCTTCACGCAGAGCTTTCTCTCCCCTCGGCCCTCACAACGACCTCTGTGGTGGCAGGTGGAAGCTCAGAAAGGTGAATTTAGTGGTCTCCTGGCACAGTAAGTGGTACTGGAGCCAAGGCTCAAACCTGTGTCCCGTCAGGGCAGAGCGGCTGGCTCTGTCTTATTCCCCCTGGGCTCCCTGGCACCCCAACACCCGATGCAGCTCTGTACCTCTCGTTTGGAGGGAGGGTTGCCATGGAGAACACCTGGCAGTGGAGGGAGGGGGAGGGGTGAGCCCAACCACGAAGGGTGCCATTTCCCAGGTTCTGATGGAGGTGAAGTGGGAGCTTTCTCTTTCTTCAGCCCCTCACCCTGAGGTGCTGTTTCCATAGAAACAAAAGGCCCTTTGTCTTGTCCCTTCCTGCTGCCTTCCGTGAGTCTCTCAGCATCCAGTTCCCCTGCTTGGACCACTTGGACAGTTGCTGCCACTGCTGTTGTTCCCTGAGTGTTTGCACATGGCGCCCAGGAGCCCATCAAGCAAACCCGACTGTGCCCTGTGGAAACCCCTCTCCCAAGCACTCGGCCCCCCGAGAGAGAGGGAGAGAGGAGAGCAAACTCGGGAGTCACATAAAGTCAGAAGGTGCAAGGGGTGCCCAATGAGATCACCCTGTTCCTCTCCAAGCTTCAGAAGAAGCAGTGGCCTCGTCCAGCACTGCCTCTGCCCACCTGAGTGGGCACCCAGTACCCGAGGGCCTGAAATTCAAGTCCTCAAGGAGACCTTTCTCTCCCTGCTGCTTTCCTCCCTCAAAGGCAGGGCAAGGAGCAGGAACTCCTCTCCCCAAGGGCCTTTTCTAAGTGGCCTCCAGCTGGGTGGCCTTAGCGCTTCCTCCGGGTCACTAGGACTCTGTGTGCCAGAGGGTCAGGCTCCTGCCAGCACAGAGGCCCCCCAAGGCTGGCACTACTAACCCTAGTGCTGTCACCTGGGAGGAAATGACTTTGCTGCTGCCTGAGGACCCCGTCATCCAGGGAAAGGCTCCCCATCCCGCAGCGAAGGTTCAGACCATCATCAGAACAGGCATCCAGGGGTCTCAGCTCCCGGTACCTTGCTCCTCACTACACGGACACACCCTTCTGCCTCCCCAGGCTGTTTCCTGGTTGAGAAAAAGAGGGCTGAGCCATGAGAGATTCCGAGGTCCCTTCACGCTCCGATTCTGACTCTGGCCTTTCTGTCTCTGCTGCCTTCTTGTCAAGGGAGAGCCTAGGCTGATGACAGGGTGGGCGAAAGAGAGAGAAATAGAAAAGCTAAGCGCTGACAGCCTGTAAAATTGCTTGATAAGAAGTATATAGCTGTCAAACAGCATGCAAATTTTTGCAAACCCGAGCGCGGTCTTCCTGAGAGCTTTCAGAAATCCCTTCCTTTAGGTCTGGGATCCAGCGAGCTGCTGGGCCGCCGGGCGGTTTGAAGGCTCACGGCCCCCTCTACTGGCAGAAGCCAAGCGCCTTTTCCTGCTGGTTTCTCTCTGGGCTGAGACCTCAGCACCTGGGCAGAGCATCCGTCCAGTAGCTTGAGACAGGCCGTCTGGGGCAGAGATCTCAACCTCCGGAACAGAGGTCACTGGAGAGTCTTGTTAAAATGCAGCGGGGAGTCTGTGCCACTGGGCTGTGCTCGAGGATGTGCATTTTAAACAAGTGCCCCAGTGTTTTCCATGTAAGTGTCCCTGAAGCCACAGATTACTGTGACACTCAGACAAGGCCCTGCCCTCAGGGCTGGTAGGAGGTTCCAGGTAATGTCTTGAAGCCCCACCCAGCTCCCCCAGGGAAATCACTGAGAAATGGCCCACACTCTGAATGCGGTGAGGAGAAGGAAGAAAGGCACAGGCTTTCGAGCCCCTGGCCTGTGCTGGGTACGCACGGTGCTAACTGCTTCCACACAGAACTCACAGCCACCCTGCCTGATGGCATCATTTCACAGACAAGAGGTGAGCCCCTGTGTCCATGGTCACACAATGAGAAAAGGACAGCACGGTCTCCTGCCCGCCGCCGCCCGGGGCCTTGCGCAAAGCACTGTGGCTGTCCCCGAAAGGCAGGGTTGGCCATGTTTCCCTACCTCTTTATGGACCGACTCTCCCCTTGGTGTCCCACCAGCAGAGAGGGTGAGGAGAGTGGTCACTGCCTTCCAAGGTCCTCTGGGCCCATGCTGTTTTTCCCTGGGTTCTTTGAGGTGACTCCAGCGGCAGTCACCTTTCTAGAACTCTCCTGGGTTCCCCCGATTTGTGCTTGGACAAGACACTGGCCACTAATGTGGTCTGGCTTCCAGTGATGTGGCTGCTGTGCTCCTGGACTTTAGGCTTGCCTGTGACATCCCTGGGGGCTGGAGGTCGCAGATCTCTCTCCTGCAAATCTGGGTCCCTATCCAGGAGGGAAAGTTGGGGATGTGCTCCTGGGGTTCAGAGCTCCATAAGGGACCTGTGAGCCCCCAGTTGCAGGGTAAGTCTACTCAAGATCTGTCTTAGTCAAGGCAGAATCATTGTCGCTCCTGAGGAGTGTGGGTCAGGCCCCACAGCTGGTGTCTGGAGGCTGCAGTCTGGTGTGATAAGCCTGAACACCGTTTCCAGCTGGGGTCCCAGTCACACAGCATAGGTGAGGGGAGTCGAGCGAGCCTCCTTCAAGGGACTGATCCCACTCGGCTCTAGAGAAGAGGCAGGCGTGCTTGTTCTTGTTGACAGATGTCACATCCCCCTACCATCCTGGTTTCTCTTGGGGCTTATGTTACAGCTGGGTGAGTGAGGTGAGCGAGGGCACATATGTCACCCAATCAACATCTATTGATGCTGCGATGCTGCTATTGTTGCTAGGGTTGGTGCACACCCTTGCGTAGCTTGCCACTGCCTGCCGGCTCATTTTATCCAACAAACGTGTGTGTGTGTGTGTGTGTCTGCAAAGTCGGCCCTGTGCCAGGCACTGTTCTCAGTCCCTGGTACAGCAGTGAACAAAACAAGCAAAGCCCCTGCCCCTGCGGAGCAAATACCATCCTGCAGAGTGAGAGTGGCGAGGGCAATGACCCTTTTCTAAAGGTGATCAGGAGGCCTCTGGGACCAAGGGGCATCTGAGCAGAGCCTCGAATGACCGGAGAGAGTGGACATCCAGGGAGGATTCTTCCAAGAAAGGGGAATGTGAAGCCCTGTAGGTCTTTGGCCGGGAATGTAAGTGTCCCCGCCTACCTCTCTCCTCACCAGTCCTTGTCCCTTCTCGGCCGGCCGTTACTCTGTGCTGTCTCCTCCCGCTTCCCACCCTACTTTAGTTTCACTCCCGTGTGTCTCCCCGTCGCAGTTTGCCTTTCTCTCATAAGCCTCCTCTGGACACCCATGCCACACATACTTCGTAAAAAAAAAAATTGGGGGCTGTTCATGGATGCTTCCCTATTAATCTGAGCGGATCTGCCTCGCCTCAGCTTTGCCAAACACCCGCACGTGGTGGGCGCCCCATCCATGTGCACCGAGCGAACGAGGGAACACAAAGAATGTTCCTTCAGACCGTTTCTCGGCTTTCATCCAGCCCTACCAAACAAGTGTGTGAGTCGGCACTGCAGCCTTCCCCGGCACTGCAGCCTTCCCCGGCAAGGAGCGGGGCCGTGCGCGGCGTGGGGACCTGGCTCCCCTGGCGACCCGGCCGCAGCACCCAGAGTTTCTTTCACTTACCTGCCTCCTGCCTCCAAAACGCTGTTGCCTCCAGGGAGAAACTTGATGTCTGCTCAGCTGGCCAAGCAAATAAGACCAGTCACTAAGGGGAGGAAGTGGGTGTGGTCATGTCCATTGCAGCAGTGAGGGGACTGTGGGACAGCACAATGTGATCACTTCAGCACTGCTCCAGGGGCAGCCACAGCACTGTCATGGAAGATGACCGAGCTCCCTGACTGTCGGAGCCCTCTGTAAGGGGCATGCACGGTCTAAGCTCTAACCTCAGCCTCCAAGGAGCTCAGCTGGACCCAGAAAGTCCCAAGGCGCAGTCAATGAATGGAGCAGGACAGTTAGGGGGGAAGGGGCCCCACTGGGGCCTGTCCTCATGTCTCTAGCTAATGGCTCAGGAGAAGAGGCAGCCACCACCTTAATTAAATTCACAGCTGAAGTGATATGAGAAGGTGGTGTGAGCATCAAGAACGGGCAGGAAATAACTCGGCAGCTTCCACCTGGGAGAAAGGAAGCCAGGGCGCCAGGAGGTTGTGGATCCAATGGCTGACACCTCGCAGGCAGGCCAGGAGTGTCAGTGTCTGCCTCGCCCCTTCACGTGATAAGCCCCAGAGCAGGAATCCAGCCAAAGGAGCCACCGGCCTCCGCTAGGGATTGTAAAGGGAGAGGAAATGGATGGAAAGGGCCCGGGAAGAGAACTGTGCATCTCTGGCCTGAGGGAACACAGTGTTCTCTCCCCCGTCTTTCTTCTAAATGAAATGTGTTCCCTCCGCCCTCTACGGTAACACCACCTCTCTAAGCCTGTGGTCCCTGCCGTGCTGCCTGGCTCTCGGTCAGCCTATGGACCTTACCGAGACACAAGTTTCTCCTCTTCCAACCTAGGCAGCCTACATGGCAGAGGAAGCCGTGAGTGGATTTGGAAGACCAGGTTCTGATGCAGACTGGCTCCAGGAGCTGGTGGCCCCGCTGCCCTCAGCTGTAACACAGGGCCGACGATACCTACTCAGAGTGAGGCCACCCGTGAGGATGACTGTGGTTGTGCTTTTGTAGGCTGTGAGGCTGCATATGGTGTTAGCTACAGGTGAACTGCCTCTTGGCAAGACTTTTAAGTCGTTAACTGCAGTTGTTGCTTTGGAGTCTAGATCCCTCCCCACACCCCGCTGAGGTCAGGGGAGGGCAGATCCCTCGATGTCCCAACTAGTGCCCGTCTTGCTGAGGCTGCCAGGACAGGAGGACCTTGCCTTTTGCTTGCCTGGGTGCCCTACTGACCTGTTTCCAGATCAGCAGGTGTGGGCAGTGCACATGAGGGGCCGGAGGCAAGTCCACTGAGCACTTCACTTACGTCATTCCCTGCCTGTGTCCCTTGTCTCTGCAGGTAAAACAAGTCCCAGTCCTGCCAAGAACAGCAATTGTGTGATTTCCTGAGCTGCGGGCCAGCGGTGGGCAGGACCTGTGGATGACCCACTGTCATGTCTTGTGGAGAACACAGGTCAAACTCTATACTAGTTTGCACATCGGATCCCTACTGGCCTCCTGCCCAGCAGCCTCCATCCTGGCCTCAGGGCCCCTGAATCTGGGATGCGAGGGTCTACAGCATCTCAAGACAATCACACGCCTCCACAAGACCGTCGGTGGCTGGGCAGGGGTCACTCCTTGTTTACGTGAAGTGGAAGCTTGACTAGCGTCCGCTCTCCTTCATGCCTGACTCCCTCCCTCCACTGGCCAGCCTTGCCCTGCAGGGCCCCTGAGGGGGTGAGCCCGTATCTTTATACCTTAATGTGATAGGGTCTCCAGGGCAGCCCCACCCCCCCGCCTTCTCCTTCCTCGGGCTTCCTGGTGCTTCTGGTCCCCCTAACAGGTTTGATGGAATAAAAGGGAAGAGGACAAGGCTCTGAGCCAAGGATGCAGTCTTGCTCTAGCCTCAAAACTCAAGGTGGAGGATGCTAGGAGAGCTGGAACGCTGGCTACGGTGGCCTTCCTGGCCTGGTCCCTGCCGGCTCCTGCGCTAGACACTGACTGGAATGAGGGGAAGATGTCCCACTGGGAGCCAGAGCCAGTGGCAGAATTGGATGCCGCCATTTCCAGAGCCCTCGTGCCGAGGTCTGCTTTCCCTCGCTCTGCGCTGTCTTCGCCCTCACGGGTCCCAGCCTCCTTGGCTGTTGCCTGCTGCAAGCCATTATGGGGGTTCTTCTAGTGCCTTTACCTGGGGCCGCTCCCCCCACTTAATGTGCCTTGATTTGCACCTCAAGACAGGGTGAGAGAGCTTGGCCAAGAGGTAGTTCAGGTGGTGTGGGGGGCTGGCCCTGTGGACAGGAGCGTTTGCCCTTCCTCCCACCCCTGAGGTGACCCTCAGTCCCCGTCACCAGCCAAGACTTGTGCTGCTTCTATAGTTATGCTTCAGCCAAGGACCAGCCTTAGCCCCCTGCCAAAAGTCAGGCTGTGTTTGGGGCCCTCAGTTCCCCCCACCCTCCAAAGAGCCCAATTGCCATGAGGCCGGGCCCAGAGACCAGCCTAAAATCACACACTGCCCCTACCCCACTTGTGTGACTGAGGAGTCTAAGGAGACAGATCATGAATGCGCATGGCAGAAACTGCCAGACCGCAGGCTCCGCGGGCAGGACCCCTCTGGCAGCCTCACTGCCAAACCAAACTCTCTTCCTTGTGTTTTCCTTTTGCAAAACCCCACGGCACCAGCTGCGCCTGGGGAAGGGGCCCAGATGTCTGTGAGGTGGCTGGCGTGAGAGGCCAGCAAGGGGCCTGGCTGTGCTGAGGAGAGCCAGGTGTCCTTTGAGGAGCAGGAAGTAGAACAACACAGTGCAGTCATTAGAGAAGAACCTCAAGGGTGGGGGAGGGGGAACGTGGTCCCCAGGGCCCCTCTGATCATCTTGAGGTTCACTTCTAAGGTGT